CGGACATAGAGGGTGAATGAAGTAAAGTCCAAATGCCTATTTGTAGATGAATATTAAGCTAGAGTAAGATCAAAGGAAATTAAAGAAGCCCCTACCATATTCTAATTTTTGAATAATTAAAATAGAGAAATGACGATAAAGAAATCTTTGAAAAATTTTACGGCGATAAGATTAGGCCTAAGATTCTTTAACGCAGACTCAAATATTAAAATTCAGATGAAGAGAAAGTTAGCCAGGACAGGGAATGGTATTCACACAGAGAAAAAGCCCCTAAAGTTAGAATGTTTGATACACTTTTGAAGTGTCCGAGAATATATCAAACAGAATTATCAGAACAAAGCTAGATCAGAATTTTGATAGGGCAACAAGGCACAATAGAGCTCAAAAAGACTAAAAAATGGCGAAGAATCAAGTATAGAACAGGTGACGGAAAAATACATTTAATCTATGAATTCGCCTGTATGCAGGATTGTAAAACTTAAATCACTGAAGCAAACAATTACAAAATAGAAAATAACAATTGTAAGAAATCTCGGTCCGCTATTATATAAGATAGTTACTAGGCTTGAAAGACGGTTCGCTATACTGAAGGTTTGAACTAAATAAAAACTAAGTAGTTTGGTTGAAAATAAGTTTGCCTCAGCTTCAATGATTGGACATCTCACTAGATCAGCACCCGCATAAGTTTAATATGGATATGGACAAAAGCTGAGAATATTATGCCATTGGAAGGAAGCTCATCTTTCTGCCTCAAACCTTTGCATAGGGTAAAAAGAGGCGACGGTAAAATAGGAACTTAATCAGTTTCGCAAAGCATTTGACGGAGCATGCAAATGATTCAAGGCGTAATTTGACCTCGTGTTACCAAGGGGACCTAGATAAGCAAAGCCTGTCCTGTCATATTAGTCATAACAATTTCCAGCGTCTGATTGTGGACTTGGTACGTTCTCAGACGTTTCGCAGGCGTCGTATTTGAGAAAACGAGGTCAAACCGATTCCATACAGCGAAAGGAGACTGCGACCAGAATATAGGCCACAGCATCTTCGCCGCCATATCTTCGATTAAATGAGAGAAGCCTGAACCCTCATAGCAAAGTCGATAAAAACATAAGTATGAGAAAAAGGAGAAGTTATGGTCGCTTACCGACACGAATCTGACCGGAGACAAACCAGGTCTGCGCCTCCAGATTCGGCTCGCACGAATGATTAATAAATCGCGCCAAGCCACCACGTACTCCAGCATCCACAACGAGGTCGAGGGCAAGGCGGCAGAAGAGTCCGGAGGCTTCAGAAACTAGTAAATTGGTAAATTGTCCTGTGTGCGGTGAGGTAGAAAATATTAGACTTAAGAGTCGAGAATGTGAGGGGAGCTGGGGGAAAAATTAATGAGCCAA